TTACTGGGTCGTAGTGGTCTGTTATATATGTATCCTGGTATATAGAATGTTGTTATGCGGTAGTGATATGTAGAACTGTATGTCTACTTGTACTTGTTGGTTATCATCTAGTGAAGTGCTCTATGGACTGTATGTAGTCATGTAGGATAGCCTGATAATTCTTGATCTAGGCTTTATTGCTTGTTCCTTGTTTGGTTGTGGCTCTAGAGTGGGATCATCTATTCGGTTGGCTATCTCACCTTTGGGTACTTATGGTTACACATTTCATGGAGGTTAGCTGGTAGCGGGACTGTGAGTTGTGAGAGGACTAGTAGGCGGTAGCGAGCTATATGATTGTTGTTTGTCTGTATTATGTGCCTAATCTATCCTTGTTTGTTTATATATCGACATATGGTAGTTGTGGGTTGAAGCGGTCCTGTTGTGTCCTGTAGACCAAGATACCCGGTGCTGGCCGACTACAAGCCGTAGGAACAGAGGCTCTGGAAGAGCGGTTGGGTTGAGGTGGATTACCAATTGTTTACTATAACAATTGAAAGGTATGTGATTCTAAAATCCTAATTAGTTATTTTCAAAAATAGCATCCTCTCTTAGGGTTCTTGTTTTGCAATTCAAAGTTATATGTTCAATAGTTAAAACATAGATCTAAAGTAGGTTGGATGTGAACTTAGGAATTGTTTTTCTAGTTTATTTGCTTTACATAAAACCCATCAAAAATAAGGAAATGAAATCATCTTGAAAGCTCAATGCATCTTGGATCCAGAAGTGTTTCACCCTTAAGCATCATTTGGAGGTATAAAGTCTGAAACTTAATGAGTTATTTGCTTAGATCTTGTTAACCTTAAGTTTATGTTCGTTTTTGGTCCCATAAGCTTGGTGTTCATGAGTATGGATTACTCTAACTAGAAGAGTTGTCCTTTCAGACATTTTTAGGTGCTTGGAACAATAAAAATGTGATCTTGGTCCTTCTATCCTTTCCATGCAAGAGCTATGATGTCTTATTGGATTATTAAGTTAGGGTTTTAGCTTTTGGACCTTGTCTAGACATGGAAAGTCATAAAGCTGGAAAATTTATGACTTGGAACGATGTTTTGGCTCTAGGTCTGAGTTTGGATGAAAGGTATTTAAGGAATAAGAACTTAATGAGAAGAATTGGACCCAGACTGAGTACGTTGGGCGTCCTGAGTTTGAAACCAATGGTTTGGATGAGTCACAACTACGACCAGCGTAATGACTGAGTACACAGGGCGTACTTAGTCAGCTTGACTTTCCTTAACTTCTTGACTTTTTGATTTTGACCTTTGACTTGGGATTTGACCAATTTTGACCTAGGGGAATTTTGGGTATTTTGAGCAGTAGTTTGAGATTAGGTCATTGTTTGTTATATAAGTGACCTGTAGAGTTGGCACTTGGAGCAGCGTCCATTTATGGTATCTTTCAGACTGTAAGGTGAGTTTTCCTCACTGTACTTGTGGGTCGAAGGAACCAATGCTGGCCCACTGGATTATGTATCCTGGTATATTGGATTGATGTTATGCTGGTTATAGGATAAACTGGTAGATCTGTATGATTACCTATGTTCACTGAATATGTATTAGATTGGTAGATCTGTATGATTACATGTACTCACTGGTTATTGATTGTTATTCTATATGTCGACATGTTATGGTTGGTTGGGTTGAGGCAGTCCTACTTTGTGCTGAAAGACAAGATACCCGAGTCAATCCGGATAGGCTAAAGGCCCGAGAGGCTGTCTAGTCAAGCCGAAGGCCCAAAGAGCGGTCCAAATAGGCTGTAGGCATTGCTAGGCGGTCTAGTCAGGCTGAAGGCTCATATATGCATGTTTTTATCTCTATGTTTGTGTGTGGTATTTTGGAGGAACTCACTAAGCTTTGGCTTATAGTTTGATTGTTATGGTTTCAAGTACTTCAGAGGACAGGGGCAAGGCGAAGGCTTGATCGTGCACATCTTTGGTATTTTATGATATTTGATTTTGGGATACTCTGATTCACGATTATAACTTTTGGAAACTATGTTTTGTAAACATTTATGGTTTTTGGTTTGGTTTTGAAAATGAAAATTTTACCTTGATTTTTGGGATGTTACAATATAGACCTAGACCATATGATGACCAAAGGGATATTAAGGAGTGATAAAGTTGCCAACTTTATTCAATCCAACCAATCGTAACCACAAATCATTAAGGAAAGGGCTCAAAACTTAGATCCACAAGAGATGAATAAAAAATATGGAAGCTTGGAGACATACACAAGTCCAGAAGGTGCACCAAGAGATGTAGACAAGCTTGCCAGTTGATCCATTGCTCAAGAAAGTCTTCCTTCAACCTTCAAGTGACCAAAACACCATCAAATAGCAAAAAGGCAAGATGAGAAGCTAGGGTTTCGTTTGTGGGAATGGAGGCGGAAGGGAACAGCCTAACCCTAGAGTTAAGGCTCTTAATATGAATGAAACCCTAAAAATCATGGTATTGGGCTGCAGTATTCACCATGTCGTGACACCCTTCATGCCACGTCGTAGAGACCATCCGAAAATACACGTTCTTCATTTGGTATACTACATCATGACACCCTTTATGTCATGTCGTGGCATATGGTTTTCCTAAAAAAACATTCATTTGACTCATTTATACCATCGACTGATCCATTATAGGAAATGGGTGTTACATCAAAAACTCTAAGAACATCCCTTCAAAGGATTAAAAAGGACCTCAAAGCATGAAATGAGAAACAAGAATGATAAATGTGGAAGCTTTATACCTTCCAAAGCTCCACAATATGCATGAGATGCAAGATGTGAAATAAATACAACCTTACAACCAACAAGTACACCACCTTCTTCTCCCAAATTGTATTTCACGGCTTAAAACTTCAAGAACATCACATAAACATAAAGAACATTCAAGTGAGGGATAGGGGTTCGATTTTAGAGGATGAAGGCTAAAGAGAATGACCTAACCTATGAGTTAGAGCCTTTATATATGGTAGAAACCCTAAAATCTTGGGCTTGGGCCGCAACAACGATCACGTCGTGGTCACCCTCTTGCCACATCGTGGTGTCAGCCAGGCACAGACATTTAATGACATGGCCACGCCATGGCATCAGGTTTTTCCCCAAAACCTTATCTTTGAAATCCTCTATGATCTACACAAGACAAAATTGCATGGATTCTGAAAATGATTGCCATGATTTTAGTCCCAAAAGAGCAACAACAAACCTGATGTTCACTAGTAAGTTATTTTAGTTTCTATGCATTGTTCATTAAGTGTTCAAGTTGATAATGAACTAGATGAAAGATGAACGAGAGGAAAGAATCCCATCACAATTGCTTAGATTATGGCCTTACTAGTCGATCACTTGCATAATTTAACTTGAGTAACTTGTTACTTTGTGAACACTAGTTTTGAGCATATAACCTAGTAACCTAGAGTAACTTGTTACCTTGAGAAACTTCCTTGCAATGTGAAACTTGCTATCAAGAAAATAAATGGAAGTATGAGATGCACAATAGAAGGAATTGAGTGTTTATGATGATATTTTTCTTCCGTTATATTAGCATATATGATTTGGTTTTGTGCAAGAAAGAAAAAATTGGAAGTGAGACAAGGTTGCCTTAATTTAATGTTAGGGTACTTCTAAAAAAAAGCGAAGGAGAATGGCGATGGTGTGAGATAGAGTTTACCTAAATTACTCCAAATACAAGGTAGAGGTGGTGGTAGTAGTAAGAAACGGTGGTTATTAGTTTGGAAAACATTAAAATGACTAAAGTCCCCCTCATATGCGAGGTATATGAGGGTGGTCGATGCATCCAATGAAAATGTAAGATAGGGACGAAATGAGTAATAAAAAAGATAGGGACGAAATGAGTAATAGAAACATGCACTAAGGACCAATGTTAACAAAATAGAAAAAATAGGACTAAAACTATAGAATCGTGCCCACCACAAGGACCATTTCTGTAATTTAGTCTAAAAACTTGGTTCCTTGGTAATCTCTCTCACTCTCATCAGACACTACACCCACTGTTTTCAAAACCGGACCGGACCAGCCGGTTGAACCGGGAACCGGTCAGGCAACCGGTACATTAGGACAAAAAACCCGCCTAAAAGCAAACCGGTAAGAACCACTGGTTCAACCGAAAACCGGTAGCGAACCGGACTGGTCAAACCGGAGAAAACCGGCCTGAAAAAAAAAGTATAAAATTTTATACTTGAAAAAAACAAATAGCTAACGCCTTTTATGGGAGATCCATGCCTTTTATAGAGCTTTCAAGGCTTTCAAGTTATGTTTTTAGTGATGTGGGATTTATAGCCTAAACAATCACTTGACTTCATCTCTCACTTTCAAATGACTATCTATAGTTCTTTTATTTTTTTTTTCAAATGTTTCAAAAGTACCTAATATTTTTTTTTAGTTTTTATGTAATCTTCATAATATATTTTTAAAAAACTCAAATATAAATTATTAGAACTTGGTTTTTGTTGTTTATTTTAAAAGTTTAAAATTCATGATATTATCTCTTTTATATATATATATATATATATATATATATATATATATATATATATATATATATATATATATATATATATAGGGAAAGGTTATTTGAAAAACAAAAAAACCCTAAAAATCATAAAAATGCATAAAAAAAATACTTAGAGATCACAAAACTTTTTTTTGAAAAAATCGCAGCTTTTTATACAAAATCGGTGAAAAAAATTTTGAAAAAAAAATTTTTTTTTTACAAAAAAAAAAAAAAGAAAACGATTTTTTATTTTTTCTTTCAGCGAATTTTAACAAAAACCTGCGACATTTTATAAAAAAAATTCAAAAATATTTTTTGTGATCTCTAAATATTTTTTTTTATATATTTTTATGATTTTTAGGGTTTTTTTTTTCATAGAATATATATATATATATATATATATATATATATATATATATATATATGACGTCGTCCGGTTCATCCGGTTTTTTGAGACCGGTTCAACCGGTCGAACCACTTGAACCCAGTAAGACGTCCGGTTCGATGTCCGAACCAGTTTTCAAAACATTGACTACACCCATCCTCTCTCTAACTTTCGTCCAGACGCCACAGGTCATCTCTTCTCTAATGTCTCTACTCTCTCAATCTAAATCGACGATTCTCTTCTCTCTTTTTTGGTCAACCGGCTGTAGAAGTTTTCGCTCGAGTGGGATCTTGGCCCAGTGAACATCGCCTATTCTCCTCTCTTCTCCTCAACTACCAGTTACACCCCCTGCTACCGGTACAATAGCTTAATCTTTATCTTAATTACTTTAGTCTTCTTGATTTCTGTAGACGATATTCAAACATTAAAAAGTTTTACTCTTGCACAAAAAAAGCCATTGTTCTTGATGTATAGAGTTGACCAGTTAAAGAAAATCTTATGTATAAGAGCCCTAATCTAGATATTTTTACCTTTTTTCATTGAAGCGGCATAATTTGCAGCAATAAAGTATGTCTAGGTGATTTTGAAAATTCGTCAGTCTCCGTACTTTCAAATTCAAAACTAATATATATATTTTTTTTAATATTATAGATCAAATATTTTCAGTCGTGGAACTTACTTGTAGATCAATCTATATATCAGCTCTGTTATCAATTTACTGATTTTGTAATTGAAAAGAGTCGGGTTTGATTTTGAAATATCTCAAAGCCAACTATCGTGTCGTAGATGTCGAACTCTTCTTCTTTATCCGATCAGAGCAACTTCGGTCTGATGTGCTGACTGATTGTAGTCCGCTAGAAGAAATTTGAAGGCTTTAAAATTGTTTAAATGAAGAATTTTGCTTCCATCATGCTGTCATCAAAAGCTATAAAAACAAATTGTTCATTCTTGTGCTAGTGTAGGCAAACAGCAGGAGTTGTTCTTGTGTAGAGGATATTATTATTGAGATTGAGAATGTTTTATCTGTTAAATAATTTGATAGAAATTTAATTAAATTATGGATATTTAGACAACTTGGTTTAACAACTCTGTTTTCAGTCTTAGAACTTATTTGAAATTATGGATTTTATAAACAAGTTGTGTGGAAAACTTTGATAATTGGAAAATTTGAATAAGGGCAATCTCGTAATTTTCACATCTTGTTTTGTTCTGTTCAAGCCTAATCAAACCCATTTACACATCATGTTCACCTTATCCTTGCTATATCCATTCCCTTGTGGCAATTCATTTCATTCAAGTTTGTTTGCAATCATTTTGCATAAAATTTCACCAGCAAAAAATTGAATTTTTAGAGGATCCTTCAGGTATACCTTCAATGGCGTCTTCTCCAACTTCATCAATTCACAAGAGCTTTAAGTATGATGTGTTTTTGAGTTTCAGAGGTGAAGACACTCGTACAAACTTCGTAGATCATCTGTATCATGCTCTTCAGCAGAAAAGCATTCACACTTATAAAGACAACGAAAAAATCAAAAAAGGAAAAAAGATCAGTGATGAGCTCATCGGATCTATTGAAGACTCTAAATTCTACATCATTGTTTTCTCCAAGAACTATGCCTCTTCATCTTGGTGCTTGGATGAACTTGTGAAGATAATGGAATGTCATAGAACCACTGAGCATACTGCCTACCCTGTTTTCTATGATGTGGAACCTTCTGAAGTCCGCAAACAAAGTCAGACAATTAAAGAAGTCTTTGCAGAACATGAAAAGAAAGAGGCTGATGGGAAATGGAGAGAGGCTCTGAAAGAAGCAGCGGATCTGGCTGGGTGGGAGTTGAAGAATACTGCTAATGGGTAATTCTTTCATCAGATCTATGCAATAATGTAAGAGGTCATGTGATTTGAGTAAGCTAATTAAATCTTCTTTGAAATACAGGCATGAAGTTGAATTCATCCAAAAAATTATTGAAGAACTTTTGCTAGAGCTACGTTCCATCAGTTTCAACATTGATGAAAAATTTGTAGGAATGGAGACTCGGGTCAAGGATGTTATATTATCTTTAGGAACTGGTTTTAATGATGTTCACATGATTGGGATCAAGGGGATGGGAGGTGGTGGGAAGACAACTTTGGCCAGAGCTGTTTTTGATCAAATATCCTTTCAGTTCGAAGGTAAAAGCTTCGTGGAGAATGTGAGGGAAGCTTCAAATGCTTCTTTTTCCGGTTTGAAGTCGTTCCAAAATCAAGTCCTTTCGGATGTGACAAATGATAGAGGCATCAACATTAGTAGTGTTTATGAAGGGGTACACATAATGAAGAGGATGATGCGTGATAGGAAGGTTCTTGTTGTTCTAGATGCGTGATAGGAAAATGTTTCTTTCTCTGGTTTAAAGTCTTTGCAAAAGCAAGTCCTTTCAGACGTCTTAAATGAAGACATACGTGTAAGTAGTATTTCTGACGGGAAGTACTTGATGAAGAGGAGGCTCCGTGATAAAAAGGTTCTTGTTGTTCTAGATGATGTGGATCATATAGACCAGCTTGAGGCGTTAGCTGGTGAGCTTAATTGGTTTAAGCCTGGAAGTAGAATTATCATTACAACAAGAGATGAGCAAGTGTTGGTAGCACACAGAGTGAAGTTCATTCGTGATGTCACTCTGTTATCGGATAAAGAAGCAATTTGCCTCTTCAGTAGGCATGCGTTTGGGAGAGATTTTCCAATTCAAGGGTTCGAAGATCTATCCGGACAAGTTGTACGTTATGCTGCTGGTCTTCCTTTAACAATCAAAGTTATGGGCTCGTTTCTTTGTGGTAAAAATGAGCTTGAATGGGTAGATGCCCTAAAAAGACTAAAAAAGATTCCATTAGCAGAAACTATGAAGAAATTGGAATTAAGCTATATCGGTCTAGAGGAGGATTACAAAGAAATCTTCCTAGATGTTGCATGCATCCTGAAAGGTTGGCAGAAAGACAATGCAATCAAAGTGCTTGAAAGCTGTGGATTTCATGCTAGAAATGGTTTAAGAGTTCTTGAGCAAAAATCTCTCATAACTATTAATGGTAATTCTAGTTATGAGTGGGTGGACATGCATGACCATATTGAAGAAATGGGCAGGAATATTGTTCGTAAGCTGCACCCAGATAAACCTCACAAACATAGCCGATTGTGGATTAACGAAGAAGTTGAAGATATATTGGCTAATGAATTGGTAAGGATCAAGTTTAATTGTAAGTTGCGAAAAGCTAAACAATTTCAATTGTTATGAGACAAGTTTCATGGTGACTACATTTGGATTACAGGGTACTAAAGCAACAAGATGTTTACAATTTTACACAGAGAAACTCAATCCACATACTGTTATAAAAGGTCTTGGAAAGATGAAGGAACTTAGACTTCTTTCCATGATTTTCGGTGATTGTTTCCATAATCTGGAATTTAATATAGTCAGCCCAGACTTTCCAAATGCTTTACGATATGTGTGTTTGAACTATTACCCTTTCAGGTATTTACCTAAAACATTTCAAGCAAATAATCTTGTTTCACTTCGGATGGATGACAGCAGAATTGAACAACTGTGGGAAGGGGGAGAAAAAAAGGTAGAATTGTGGTTGATTGATTGTTTTCCATAATTCATTATTACGTTGTACATCCATTGTTTTGTTTCTACATCAATATTCATGTTTTTTATACCATATGTAGGTTCTTAACAAGCTCAAATTCCTTGACCTTAATCGTTCAATGTTGAGTACTCTTGATCTTGGGCTTACTCCAAATCTCGAGAAGTTGAATCTTGGAGAATGTTCCAATTTGGTAGAACTTCATATGCCCGTTGGATGTTTAAAGCTCATATCTATCGACCTCAGAAATGCAAGGTTGAGGATCCTTGACCTTCATTTGGCTCCAAATCTTGAAAAGTTGATTCTTGTTGAATGCAACGATTTGGAAGAACTCCACATACCCAGTAGATGTCTAAACCATGAATACCTACTACTCTCTAATTCAAAATTGAGGACCCTTGACATTGGGTTGACTCCGAATCTCAAGTATCTGGATCTTAAAAGTAGTTATTATTTGGAAGAACTTCACATGGCCGATCAATGTCAAAAGCTCACGAACCTCGACACTAGTCATTCAAAGTTGAGGACCCTTGACCTTAGGTTGACTCCAAATCTCAAGGGGTTAGATCTAAGTTATTGTTGTAAGTTGGTAGACCTTCACACCCCCATTGGATGTCTAAAAAAGCTTGTCTACTTAGGCTTAAATGGTTGTTTGAGGTTTAGATCTTTTTTTTTAACATGAAGGATTGTACTTGTAGTGTGGATGAATCACTTGAGGTTGGTCTTTTATCCGAGTTGCATCTGATTGTGGAGTTGCTAGAAAGATGTCCATTTCACCTGTAAATACATGCCAAAGTTTCTGTTTATATGTATTTGTAAAGTAGATCGACCCTCATTGACTAGAATTCTTGAGAAGTTACCTGCGGATTTTGGCTGATTAGAATGTTTAGAGAAGCTAACCCTAATGAAGCGTAAATATTTACAAGATATGCTGAATAGCATATATAAGATAAAATATATTAAAACATTTCCATCTCAGCAAATTTATTCAAGTTGAGGTACAACTAACCATAAGTTATCTTTCACACATCATTTATTTGTTGTTACGTATAGGTGCACATAATATCGTAACAGGCACGTATTTTCTCTGTTCTTCTCTGTTTCCTATTGATCATCTTACTATGATTTTAGTGTTGAAATTGATATACGTTTTAAGGTATAATGTTCTAATACAAAAGAAAATTGAAAGTGCAATTCTATATTGAATAGATTTCGAGAATACAGTGCCTTAATGAAATTTAAGAAAACATTACACTGATGTAATCGAATGAAAATAATACACAAATATATGAAAGTGAAATGCTATTTCTTGAATTGAGCCTTGTATGTATGCATGTATGTATGTATGTATGTATGTATGTGCATTATATTATGATACTTGTACAATTTGGAAACGGTTGATCATTTATCACGGAGGATATAATCTTGTCTTAATCTTAATCTTAATCTTAATTGTACAGACAATGGTAGAGCGCAAAGGGGCTTAGCATTATCATGTAACATTCCGTTTAATAAATAAATAAATAGATAAAATTAATAAAGAAAAAATTGCAAAAATGGTCCCCGTGGTATGCATTTTTTTGGGGTTTTAGTCCAAACTTCGACTTTTTTAGATTAGTGGTCCTTTTGAGCTAGTTTCATTGCAGATTAGGTCCCTCAGTAAATTGAAATGACTGTAATGCCCTTCTGATTTATTTTTTATGTTTTTTTCTATTTAATTCAAATGAAAGAAAATAATTAATTATTTTGGGCCCACATCTCTCTCTCTCTCTCTCTCTCTCTCTCTCTCTCTCTCTCTCTCTCTCTCTCTCTCTCTCTCTCTCTCTCCAACTAAGAAAAAACCCACGTATCTTTTTCTCCCCACCTCATCTATAACTCAAAGCCATTAAAAATCAGATTAGTAAAAAGGATGATACTAGAGAAACTAGAGTGGTGGTGTGTTGGGGTTTATCAAAAGGAAAGAGAAAAGTTTTGGGGCTTGATTCGGTTTTTTTACTGATAGAGCTAAAGGGGGAGATGGAGGATCTGTGTGATCTGCAGGTGACGACTAAAAGTACAGAGGGTTCTTGATGAGTGATTTCACAAGGAGACGACGAGAGGGGATTTAAGTCAAAGATGAAGAACGAGATTACGACATCGGAGAGGGCCGTTGATTTAGACTTGGAAGACGAGAAAGATACGAGAGGAGTGGAGAAAAGACAATAAAAAACATCATTCCTCAGTTACTAGCACCTGCTTCATCTTCATCCAGTGGCAACCTCTTCGGTGAGATTTTAAAAGATTTTCTGGTGATCTGCTCCGATTGATTCAGGGGTAAAAGGATAAATCGAGATGCAACTGTTGTATGTTCAAGAACTGATCATAACCCAAATCAAAAATCGAAGTTGTAGGTGTTTGAGGAAGATGATGATGGACCACGAAAAGAACCAAATTAGTTGACGGGAACGATTCTGATGATGCTAAAGCTTTTGCTAATTTAGGTATCAGTGATGTTGGCACTGGACTCGAAGATTTGGGGAAAGTAGGTGAAGCTTCTTCTTCCATTGATGGGGATACCAAACATGCGTCAATCCACAATCATGAGAACACCAGATTGAATCGTTTTCTTCGTTTGAGTCAACCAATTTGATAATCAAATTCACATGCCAGTCACTTTGACGATATCATTACATGTGAAACATAAATTTTGACTATCCAAAAACTTCTTTGACTAATTAGTATTCAATTTTGACTATCGCTTCATCACATCGTCAATTTTGATAACCAAATCCACATGTCAGTCTCTTTCTTTAAATGTTTGTATCTGATGTCAACAATGGGAGGTTTAGAGTATGCTGATGTTGTTCTTGATAAAAAGGTTTAGTTTTTCTTGGTGATCAACGTGGAATTGGGTTCTAATGGTGACAGGATGATGAAGGTGAACGTCAATGGTGATGATGGTGCTAGCGTTGATGGGTTTTTGGTGTGGAACAGAGGAAAGGAATCGTGAAAGAGTGTTTGAACGAGTTCATGAGTTTTTATCTAGAGAGAGAGAGAGAGAGAGAGAGAAGGTGGGCCCCTTCTTAATTTATTAATTATTAAAATAAATATATTAGTATTAGATTTAAAAAGAAATGAAAGAAAAATGAAAAATAAATAACCCAAGGGTATTACAGTCATTTCACTATTCAGAGGGACCAAAAACGCAACAAAACTAGCTCAAAATGACCATGAATCCAAAAAATTCGTGGTTTGGACTAAATCCCCCAAAAAATGCATACCACAAGGACTATTTTTGCAGTTTTGTCATTAATAAATGAATAGTATCCTTAAATTCAGAATAATTTAGCAAGGCGTTGGTTTTGGGGGTTAAATGATATAATTTGGACTTTAGGGGTTAAATGTGTAATTTCCGGACTAGTTTGTAAAGAATTTTTAAGGTTGAGGGCTGTTTGGTAAATTATGGATTTAATTTGACAAGGATTTCAGAAGTCAGGGTATGTTTGGTAAATATAGGACTAAAGTTGAAAAGGTTTTATGGAGGAGGGGCTGAAAGTGTTAACATGGCTAAAGGTTTGAAATTGGATGGGAGTTTATAACCCGTCACCCATGCCCTCATAACCCTAACCCTAACCATATACAACAGACACCAACCTTATACAGACACCAACCTTATACTCCCTAACCTCCGGCCGCCACCTCCTAACCACACAAGGACCGACGAACGCCGCTGCTCCCATTGACAGGTTGAACTGCAGTGCCCTTCTCCGTCGACGACGCAATCCACTCTCCACCATCTTCGTATTCCCAACACGTCCTGCTGTTGTCATCGCTGCCATTCGGCCGCTCCGTAACGCTGGTGCCCTTCGGCCGCCGCCTGCCGTATTGTGGGTTGCCGAGTTGGGCGTGTTTTCTGTTATCACCGAGAAATGGTGGTAGTGTCTGTGGCTCGCGATGTGGATGCCCATGTGTGTGGGTGTTCTGTCGAGTGGAAGTCGTGAAGAACCACCATGGCAGCCAACCATGGTGGTTGCCGCCGATGGCGCTGCTGTTGCCGCCGTTCGTGTCGCCGTCGTCCGCCGTACGCCACCATGTAGGTGGTTGTGCTCATATCTTGTGTAAGGACGTGTGTGTGCTGGTGTGTGTTGCATGATCGGGAATCAAGAGAGCCATCACCACCACCATGAGGTGGTGGCTATCGACTCCGACCACCGCTTGCCGCCACAAGGGTGGCTGTGTGTGTGTTATATTGTGTGTGTGTGTGTTTCATTTTGGATAATATATTGTATAATGTATTTGTATGGCCGGAAAATCCGAAGAAACCCACCACCACCACCACCATGAGGTGGTGGATGCCGCGTTCTGTCGCCACTAGCCGTCGTGTTGGGTGACGGTGTGCATTGTGTGAGTGGGTTGCTAGTTTAGATGCTTGGACATGTTTTGGCCTAGAATCATAACCACCACCACCACGTGGTGGTGGCTGCGCCGTGAGTCGCCGTTGACCACCACTACCCGATGTGGTAGTGGGTGGTGCCCGACTTAATTAACATTAATAAACCTAAAAACTTAACCAATTGACTAATTAGCATGCGATTGGGTTGGAAACCCTAATTAGGGTTTAGAAAACCCTTATTTTGGATATGTTAGTTTTGGGATTTGCCGGGACCTGCGTTTGGACCAGTGGATTGAAGTTTGACTTATGCCCAATTACATTGTATGTTTAGCCTAGTGGAGTGATGAACTTAATGGATTAAGTCCCTAATGGGTTAAGTAAGAACACTTAACCCTAATCATCATTTTATATGAAAACCCTAATTATGTTTGGGCTTTAAGTTGGGCTTCCTGTTGGGCTTTGGGTGATTGGGCTATTGATGGGCCATCCAAGAGCAAGTATATGGACTAGAATATTTGGATGGGCTTTAGGGTAAGGCTCATGTGAGGGGTTTTGGGTTCGGAAAATTGGGCCATAACTGGGCCTTGGTTGATTATTTGACTTTTGGGCCTTCAGAGTATGAGTTTGGGCCTTGGTCTTAGACCAAGCTATGTTAGGGGTAAAATTGTCCTTTTACCCCAAGTGGGGATTTATGGTTATGCATTGAAACCCAAATGGGTAATGGGGTTCTGTTTTGATGTTGACAGTTCGAGGATCTGTTGGGTCAAAATATTGGTTTATACTTTGTTTTTCTAGGAAAATATATTTTTCTATAATGTAATATGTAATTTTGTGGTTGTGTACGGCCGTACACGTGTGTACGGCCGCACACCCTGTGTACGGCCGTACACAGGGTGTGCGGTTGTACACACGTGTACGGCTGGTGTCTCATATATATAGGGTGAGGAGTCATGTGAGTGTAAGGCTAGAGAGGAGGAGCATGTTCTAGAGAGAGAAACTAGAGAGAAGAATAGTGTGTGTGAGAGAATCTATTGTAAGGAGCATCATTCATATCATTGAATACATCACAAGATTCATCATCTTCTTCTTCTCCTTCTCTTCCTCATTTGATCTGGCATCATCCGTTTGATCGGGATTCCGCACCATCAAACGGATCTGATTGATACTCAAGCATTTTGGGGACTTACAAGTGGTATCAGAGCTTGGATTGTATCAATCAATTTTGTCAGATCTGGAGCTTATTTGATCGTATTTTTGAAAGATTTCTGCGTTTTTGGATAGATCTTTGAAAATTAGGGGGGGTTTGTTCTTCGCATTTTTCATAAAAACGAGTTTTTGATCGAGTTTTGGAGCAAAAGGGTGAAAAACGTCGTTTTTTCTTCGAATCTGTTGAAGGTGTGCGGCTCGTTGAAGGTGTACGGCTCGGTGTGTGCGGCTAGGTGTACGGTTCAGCAGCCTCGGTCTCTGTCTCGGTCAGCAGATGTCCTCGTACACGGGAGTCCGGTTCGCATCGCACTTCGTTCAGCACTAAGCATCCTCGCAGCGTGTTCCATTTAAAAAAAAGAATCGGATTTTTTGGAGGTGCCGAAGATCGAAACCGGGTCTCCTCCCAACTCAAACAAGCAACTTACCAGCTGAACCAACTTGGCACACGTTACTCTCCTCCCAAAGTTTATTCAAAAGGCGTTCTTCTCTCGCTTTTAGTTTCGCATTTTTAACACTTTTAACCCCAAAAACAATTTCCTTTTATTTTTAAATTCCATTTTCCACCCAAAAATTTTAGATTTTAATTTTTGACTTTTAATTTTGACTTTTTACTTAAAATTTTGACTTTGACTTTAAAGTTTGACCTTTGACTTTAAATTTTGACTTTCTCGTTTGACTTTAAAATTTTCAAATTTAGCTTTTCGGTTTGACTTTGAAGTTTGACTTTTAAGTTTGACTTTTAAATTTGACTTTTAAGGTTGACTTTTGAGTTTTTAGTCAAAGGGCATATTTTTTATAAAAATGAGTTCCTCATCCATTCCGGTAAATGAAGTTTCATGTAATCCATCTTGTGAAGCTACGATTAAATTTCTTCGCGAACAAATTGATTTGCTAAAAAGGGAAAATGAGGACCTAAAATACGAAGGATATCAACTTAGGAAAGGTCAGAAACCATTAAAAGCACAATTAGAAACCAAAACCAAGGATTTCCGAAAACTGCAAGAAGATTACAGCAACAAGTGTGAAAATTACGATCACATTAAGAAAAAACTTGCTGCTGTAACTGCCGAACTTGATGCATTGAAAGCTAAATATAATGATGCTGAATTTACATTTAAGAAATTCGATGTATCAAGTGAGGTAGTTGTGTCCATGATGGAACATAATATGAAATTTAAGGATAACCAGCAAAAAAGTCTAGGTTATGAGGGTGTTCCTCCTCCTTTCAATCACACGTATCAGTATCACCCTTTGACTAAAGAGGAGATTGCCAACGGACCATTCATGGTTTATGGCAAATCAGCTGGTTTTGTATCAGGAGGCATTATTAATGTTGAAAATACTAATGTTTCTACTTCCTATGCAGATCAATCCTTAAACCAATCCAAGCAAGCAACTGAAGAGAGTGTGTCTGATAGTAAAGTAGCAGAAGATGAGAACAAAGAGAAAACCATTGAACAAACGAACATCTCCTTGAGCTCTGAATCTGTTGCTTCGAACTCAGCTGCTTCTGATCAATCTGCTGTTGAGAAATACAGACCACCAATTCTAGTGAAACCGAGTGCCTGTTGTAATTGTGCTTGTGGGAAAAGCAAGAGACAAGGCAATGACACACCACCAGGGACAGGAAGACACAACTCCTACGTGAAGAAGCAGACTTGCTTTCACTGTGGAACACCTGGACACATTGCCCGAAACTGTCCAAACCGCGCATACGTTCCCTACTATGCACAAGGCTGGCAGAACGTGCCAAGTGGGAGATTCTACAAAAGAAATTATTCGAGGTCACAATCGTGCAATGGTGACTGGAATGCGCAGAAGGCCAATAATCCAACTCCCAACAACAAGAAGGGAATGCCGGCCCAGAAGTCAATTTCAAGAAATGCGCCAACGAAACCAAAACCGGCTAGGTCAAAGTCATCTCGACAGCAAACCTCAAGTTCAAAAGCAAGTACTGAGGCACCCATCGGATCGAAAAAGAAATGGGTTAAACCCAACTACAGATGGGTACCAAAGGTTCAAACTCCCAAATCATCTAATGATTCTAATAT